GGTGGATTATAACAAAATAAGTAAAAAAGAAACAGAAACTTTAAATCTATAGGAAATTTATGATATTAATGATAATAACATAAAGTAATCACTTTTTTTTTTTTTCGCGCGGCCCCAAAAAAAAAAAAAAAAAAAAATTCTAGGCATTTCCCATTTGTAATCTTGGGTATATGTTGTTAGTTTGTTTCCATTTGATAGTTTAGAAAACTATCCAAGTTCAGGGAGTTTGTTAATGATAGAAGTTGGGATCAAACTCAACCGGAATTTGAATCCCAGGCAATCTATATATATAAAAGCCTAAGTGACTGAATGACTGGTCGACCGGTCACTATGATGCGCACTGACCACCAGGGGGCAGATACTCAATGCAGGAGCTGCCCCCTGGCGGTCAGTGTGCTCCTGCAGCCAACATTCCATGGTCTCTCCCTCTGCAGCCAACCTTCTGCCGCCCTGATCGCCCGCTCGCCAGCCACCTGACCTGCGCACTGGGCCTCTAGTTTCTTATAACGTCTTTGGCCTCGCTGCCATGTTCTACTGCTCCTCAAAGCAAAGAAATGGAAATTATTGGTAAGTTCAGATGAACATGTTAATATGCTCTCCTAGGATCTGAGTGGAAGCCCAGCTTTTCCAGTGGGTACCTTTCCTCTTAGTGGAATTTCATAAGACTTTGCAGTTTCAGGCAGAGCAGAACTGGCTTTGGAGAAGGCAAAGTAATTCTGAGGCACATATTCACACATATAGGTGTTTTGAATGTCAACTTTATAATATATATCATAATTTGACTCTGGAAATAGATAGCAGGAAAGTAGACATTTAGGAGCTAGTAGAACATGGGTCCCCAAAGATGAATGACTGATGCGAGCTGGCAGGAAAAAAAACAAGTCTCAAGGAATGGAACTGAGGAATTTGAAATAAAGTCATTGAAGAACTTAGAAGATATAGAGTAAATAAAATAATGGAAACAACAACAAGCTTAGAGTTTAGTTAGCATCAAGAATTGGAGATATAAAATTGAGAGGTAATACCCCAAACTGATCTATTTATGGATCTTATCCTCCAAGGTTTAGGGGGTGTTGCCTGTGGCTTAAAAATATTGGACCTTTCTTTCCCTCCCTCTTCCACTCTTTCTAAAAATCAATGGA